ACATATCCACACCAAGCTAGGATAACATACTAAACAACCAAACAACCAAACTTTAACCCAATCACCACACTTTCACGAAGCGACCAACCTCGCAATACGCGCTAAGCGATACCTCATAACAAACACACTACCTACACAATCAAGTTAATATCTCCAAAACTACAAATGCTACCACCACAATATACATATCAATATCAAGCCAGAATACAATACTAAACAACCAAACAACCAAACAACAATTCACTCACCACACTTTTGCTACCAATGCAGCCAAACATATACGAAATCCACGAATGCCAATACCGCATCTTACAAATTACAAACGGAAAACACCACCCCCACCCAAAAGCCACAACTCAGCCTAAAAATATGGTAAAAATACAAGACACCCCTCACCAGAAAGCTAACACAATTCCCTATCTAACAAAATCAACATTAAATAACATAATAACCAAAAGAATACTCCGAAAAACCAATACGCATAGACCCGTACATAAAATTAAAACTATAAAACAAAATATTACTCAAATAAGACGACAAAACATTAACCTTACAAACAAGTTAAAATTTCACACCATACCATGTGTACGATCACGAAATACACACAGTTGAACACCCAAAACAACACCCAAAACAACAAACAAGATAATAAAACCATCTACATACAAACCAAAGACTCTTATATCACCTCACTAACCATTACGTGTATTAGAAATTATCAATCCCAAAATGCGTACAAACAGATATCTCAGAGCGGAAAAACCGCCCTCACAATCAAGTTAAAATCTCTTAAACTATAATTGCCACCACCAAAATAAACACATCCTCAACATACCAAGATATCATACTAAACAACCAAAAAACCAAATAACAGCTTATTCATCATACCTTTCCTACCCACACAGCAACACACATACGAAATCGGTGAACAAAAATACCGCATCTTAAAAATCAGGAACGGAAAACACCACACCCACCAAAAAAGCCATATCTCAGCCAAAAAACACGGTATTGACACAATACACCACACACTGGAAAGCTGCCATAACATACTAACCAACCAAACCAAAATGGAATAAACAACTAACCATACCAATCCTCCATAAATCAACACGCATATACCCTTACGGGAAATCAAAACTAAAAAAACATAATATTGCGAACGAAAATAACCCCCCCACAATCAAGTTAATATCTCTACAACTATCAATGCTACCATCATTATACACATATCTACATCAAACCAGGATACCATACTAAACAACCAAACAACCAAACAACAACTAACTAACCATACTTTTGCTACCAACACAACCATACATATACGAAATACGCGAACGCCAATACCGCATCCCATGAATTATGAACGGAAAACACCGCTCTCAACATAATAACCAAATATCAACTAAAAACATGGTTACAAAACAAGACACCCTCTACCAGAAAGCTACCACAGCATACTAGAGAACCAAACCATACCCATACCAATTATTAACCACATATTTACCCACAAACCATCAAGCATATACCGTTTTTTGGAATACTAAAACCAAAAAAGCCATACCCAAAATCATAACAAAAACAATTCCAATTTAATCCAAATGGCAACAAGACGAATCTCATAAACTAGATACCAAAACACTTTAATATATCAACTCGATATAGAAAACAAATCAAAGGCCTCTCAAACATCACCTAAAACATTAAACATAGCACCACGCAAACTAAAAATAGTTCACCTATTCACACTTCACAAACCAACTTTCATAACAATAGAGATACCATCTCTATAATTACATCGCTAACACTGCATATCATTAACGGATTCCAAATCACTGATCTCTCTCATCCCACTCAATACTCAACATCTCAGAGAACAATACGCATACCTGCAACAACTACAATCATTCATATTATAGCAACACTTGCTAAATATGACCAGAAAAAGAAATAACAAACTACATAGGTCCTATATCAAACATAGGAACACAAGCATAATACATAAAAAACAAGCAGCCAAAACCAAACTGGTGGTAAACATATCAGACCAACAACTATCTAAACCAGAACTTTCAGTCCTCTCTAAAGGACTAAAGTTCATACCCACACCCGACCCCAAAAATATACAACATTACCTGACCACTGACATCTCAGATTTTACTAGAAAATTGAGATTAAAATTGATGTTTCATAACAGCAAACGCTCAAAACACCCATTCCAAAACAAAAGCACTTTCATACCTCCCGTCTCTACTTCACCCAAACTAGAGAAATATATCAACAATATAGAGAAGGATATTAAACGAATCAATATACCTATCTACCAAAACAACCTATCCAAACCAGAACAAACAGCTTTAAAACAATTAAAAAACAACCAAAAAATCATCATCAAAAGAGCTGATAAAGGTGGAGCTGTCACCGTTCAGAACAAATCAGACTACCAAACAGAAGCAATTAGACAACTCTCCGACTCTAACACTTACAACAAAGTCGAATCACCACACATACAAGAAATATGCCAAGCAATTAAAAAAATTGCTTTAGAAATGTATAGAGAACACGACATTGATGAAACAACGTTGAATTTCCTCACACCCACAGGGAAAGAACGCGCACCTAGATTCTATCATTTACCAAAAATACACAAAAACAAGTCGCCCCCACCAGGAAGACCAATCCTATCTGGTAACAACGGGCCAACAGAAAAAATAGCAATGTACTTGGACTATTTCCTCCAACCACTCACCAAAATGATACCTTCATTTGTCAGAGATAGCACTGATCTCATCAACAAATTGCAATCACTACCCGCCCTCAAACCAGACTGCATTCTAGTAACAATGGACGTGAGCAGCCTTTACACCAACATCAACCATAGTGACGCTATTGCAGCAACGCTAAAACACATCAACTTGAACAAAACCAATCTCCAACTAGACATCAACATACCCTCTAACAGAAGAATTACACAATTACTCAACATTATTCTCAAACAGAACATATTCGAATTCAACAATGAATACTACCACCAGAAATTCGGATGCGCCATGGGCTCTAAAATCAGTCCCTCGCTGGCCATTCTAGCTATGGCTGAAATTGAGAACAAAATCTTAGAAACAGCACCCAACAACAAAAAACCCACGATTTACCTCAGATATATCGACGACATATTCATAATCTGGGAACACAACACCCAGGAACTCAACACATTCATTCAACATTGCAACCAAACACATGACACAATTAAATTTGAAGTAGAAACATCTACAACGGAAATACCATTCCTTGACGCTCTGATATACAAACCTAAGGAGTTCAACACCACCAAAACACTACACACCAAACTATACTCCAAACCAACCGATGCTCACATATTCATACCTGCAAACTCATTTCACCCTAAACATTGCCTAGACAACCTAGCCAAAGGGGAATGCATTAGATACAAAAAACTCTGCACTACAACACTAGACTACGATTCAAACTCGGAAAACCTCAAAAAATACCTAAAAACACGTGGACATAACCCGAGGAACTTCAACAAACACATAGCTAACACCAGAAAACTAAATAGAACGCTACTACTGAACCAACCAGCCCGTACCCGCCGCACTAAAACATATGAAAACAACACACTACCATTCATTACCACACACTCGGGTATCAACCACCAGATCAAAACTATTCTGCAAAAACACTGGCACATTATAAAAAGCGACCCTACACTAACCCAGATATACCCCAATAGCCCTACTATTGCTCTGAGAAGAAACCAAAATCTCAGCGATGCTCTAGTCAGAGCCAAATTCTCTAACACATAGAACAACCCTATTATATATAATTGACAACTACCCGACCTCTAATAACCAAACCACCACACCCAGAAAACCCAAAACACACGAACAACTAACAAATTCAATATTTACATACCAAAAAAAAAAACATGATATACAACACAACAAGCACACCAATTAAAGACCGCAACTCTCCCAAACCAACTAAATTCCCGGGGAAATCACTGTGTTTCTTGACCCGTAGAAATACAACCATAACTCAACCAATATTGCACCAAACTTCAAAAACTAAACACCATAAGGTAGCTACAACCCTATTCTACACAACCACTACAAATAAAAGGCAATACACAGCTACTAAATAACAACAATAACACGAAAACCACGAAAAACTTTGAAAAAATCGGCACCATATTACGATTCATCAACCACAAAACCACAATCGAACATTCTAAACACAAAACTTTAACACGACCTTATAGAACAAACTTAGACAAACAAAAACACACCAACCACACTAAAATCAAGGCACTACATCCAGAGCTATACCCGCTTAAAGTCACACAACAAACACACTTACATTTAATCTTATCGACTTTTCACTAAGAAGAGCAATAAACCGGAAGTTTGTTCTCTGACGTCCGCACCTTCCATATAAATATAACACACGAGGACGATAGATCATATTACAGTACAACACTGACAACATAACAACAACAACAACCTAAACCTCAACATGAGCATTGCCAAAGACCTATCAATAGGCCAGATGATTGCCAACGCCAATGATACCCAGGCGTCTATCTGCAGCGGGAGATTCAACTCTCATAACTCTATGGAGATGAATGACAGCAGGGACACCATTCCCGACTCAGAAGTACCAGCTAACAGCGCTGCCTTCAACAAGCAAGCCTTTAAACAAGCTACAACCAGCAGCCCTAAAGACAAACACCATATCAAGTCGGCCTCTACCTTCACAAAAAACAACCCTTTATACACAATACCACGCAAACCCAAACACACTCTCAACATCATAGACGCGATGGGTCTAGGCCTACCTACAAACATCGGGAACAACCCCAACGCCACACGCCAAGCAGACCCAGCTCTACTCACCCGTTTGAGAACATCAATACACTGGGAAGCCAGACACGATGGCGTCCTTAAAAGCCTTAACAACTGCCCGGGAGGCATCCCAAGAGGCCTCATACCAAATATCAAATGCGGCGCCCCTGAGAAGGAAACCTCTGATATTGAAAAGGCGTTTGATGTTATTTTACACCATTGCAGCGACCAGCTGACAGAAGCCACCACACTCCACAGCCAAAACAGACTAGACTTTCACAGACAACAAACCAGTGAAACCATCCAAACGCTAGCCAAAACCATCGGCCTTGTAGAAGCAGACAAACTGGCAGAGCAGTACAGGCGTGAGGCCTTCAAACCAAAAAGACGGGAACCAAACACAAAACCCCGTGGGAAAAGACAGTAGAACAAAACTACTTTAAAAAATACAACCCCGGCCCTTCTCAGGGCCACCATTCTCTACCAAAAGAGCAATTAAACATTTATGAATTTAAAAGTATGAATGTGTATAGCATATGAAATGTATGAACGTGTATGGAAACCGCCAAACATGTTAACCCGAAACTATATTAACCCCCCTAAAACTAATAAAGCAAACCCTTGTATTACTAACTTTAAAACTAAACAACACTTCTACTACTAGTGCCAACCAAAACACACCAAACGTTTACAATTTAAACCTGCAAACCACTGCCCGTACTTCGGAACACACACCCGTGTATACACTAACATTCCCCCTTCCCCCTCCCCATTCCCCAAGCCGCTGATGAAGAACACATCATGGACTACCACCCATGAGTTCGAAACATCTTGTGCTCTTATCATGACACACATATAAGAGAGATGGTCCACCACAGGACCGGGATGTCCGGCCGCCCTCACAAAAATAACAAAAAACAAAACAATATTTCTTGGGTAAGATACGAACAATATCTTACGCCATTTTTACTGACATATACTATTCTTGTCACATATTAGACATGCGATAGTTTAGGGAAACTTAGGCGACTAGATTATGTCCCCCAGGTCCCCACACAGAGACCTCTCACCGCTTGTTCACAGACTGCATGAACAATGCGTGCACATAACTGGTGATGTCTCAAGACATTTTCTAAGTCATCTCCCCAAGAATCAGTGCTTTTACGGCTGTCTCCATTAGCCATAAGGATAAAACCAAACTAAGTGAATAACTAGCGTACCTAGTCTCCGGACATGGGTCCTATCGAGAATTGTCAGATGGACACTCACCAAGTATATGTCAACAACAAAACAACCATTTTTTGTGAAGAACTGGCTGAACCATCTCACCTTACCAGGTGTTTCGAACATTTTTCTTCAATCAGCGCACCGTTCCCCCCCCCCCTTCCCCCTCCCCACAAGCCACCACATACACGGCTACCAACAAAGTACCACCAACACAATACACATATCCACACCAAGCTAGGATAACATACTAAACAACCAAACAACCAAACTTTAACCCAATCACCACACTTTCACGAAGCGACCAACCTCGCAATACGCGCTAAGCGATACCTCATAACAAACACACTACCTACACAATCAAGTTAATATCTCCAAAACTACAAATGCTACCACCACAATATACATATCAATATCAAGCCAGAATACAATACTAAACAACCAAACAACCAAACAACAATTCACTCACCACACTTTTGCTACCAATGCAGCCAAACATATACGAAATCCACGAATGCCAATACCGCATCTTACAAATTACAAACGGAAAACACCACCCCCACCCAAAAGCCACAACTCAGCCTAAAAATATGGTAAAAATACAAGACACCCCTCACCAGAAAGCTAACACAATTCCCTATCTAACAAAATCAACATTAAATAACATAATAACCAAAAGAATACTCCGAAAAACCAATACGCATAGACCCGTACATAAAATTAAAACTATAAAACAAAATATTACTCAAATAAGACGACAAAACATTAACCTTACAAACAAGTTAAAATTTCACACCATACCATGTGTACGATCACGAAATACACACAGTTGAACACCCAAAACAACACCCAAAACAACAAACAAGATAATAAAACCATCTACATACAAACCAAAGACTCTTATATCACCTCACTAACCATTACGTGTATTAGAAATTATCAATCCCAAAATGCGTACAAACAGATATCTCAGAGCGGAAAAACCGCCCTCACAATCAAGTTAAAATCTCTTAAACTATAATTGCCACCACCAAAATAAACACATCCTCAACATACCAAGATATCATACTAAACAACCAAAAAACCAAATAACAGCTTATTCATCATACCTTTCCTACCCACACAGCAACACACATACGAAATCGGTGAACAAAAATACCGCATCTTAAAAATCAGGAACGGAAAACACCACACCCACCAAAAAAGCCATATCTCAGCCAAAAAACACGGTATTGACACAATACACCACACACTGGAAAGCTGCCATAACATACTAACCAACCAAACCAAAATGGAATAAACAACTAACCATACCAATCCTCCATAAATCAACACGCATATACCCTTACGGGAAATCAAAACTAAAAAAACATAATATTGCGAACGAAAATAACCCCCCCACAATCAAGTTAATATCTCTACAACTATCAATGCTACCATCATTATACACATATCTACATCAAACCAGGATACCATACTAAACAACCAAACAACCAAACAACAACTAACTAACCATACTTTTGCTACCAACACAACCATACATATACGAAATACGCGAACGCCAATACCGCATCCCATGAATTATGAACGGAAAACACCGCTCTCAACATAATAACCAAATATCAACTAAAAACATGGTTACAAAACAAGACACCCTCTACCAGAAAGCTACCACAGCATACTAGAGAACCAAACCATACCCATACCAATTATTAACCACATATTTACCCACAAACCATCAAGCATATACCGTTTTTTGGAATACTAAAACCAAAAAAGCCATACCCAAAATCATAACAAAAACAATTCCAATTTAATCCAAATGGCAACAAGACGAATCTCATAAACTAGATACCAAAACACTTTAATATATCAACTCGATATAGAAAACAAATCAAAGGCCTCTCAAACATCACCTAAAACATTAAACATAGCACCACGCAAACTAAAAATAGTTCACCTATTCACACTTCACAAACCAACTTTCATAACAATAGAGATACCATCTCTATAATTACATCGCTAACACTGCATATCATTAACGGATTCCAAATCACTGATCTCTCTCATCCCACTCAATACTCAACATCTCAGAGAACAATACGCATACCTGCAACAACTACAATCATTCATATTATAGCAACACTTGCTAAATATGACCAGAAAAAGAAATAACAAACTACATAGGTCCTATATCAAACATAGGAACACAAGCATAATACATAAAAAACAAGCAGCCAAAACCAAACTGGTGGTAAACATATCAGACCAACAACTATCTAAACCAGAACTTTCAGTCCTCTCTAAAGGACTAAAGTTCATACCCACACCCGACCCCAAAAATATACAACATTACCTGACCACTGACATCTCAGATTTTACTAGAAAATTGAGATTAAAATTGATGTTTCATAACAGCAAACGCTCAAAACACCCATTCCAAAACAAAAGCACTTTCATACCTCCCGTCTCTACTTCACCCAAACTAGAGAAATATATCAACAATATAGAGAAGGATATTAAACGAATCAATATACCTATCTACCAAAACAACCTATCCAAACCAGAACAAACAGCTTTAAAACAATTAAAAAACAACCAAAAAATCATCATCAAAAGAGCTGATAAAGGTGGAGCTGTCACCGTTCAGAACAAATCAGACTACCAAACAGAAGCAATTAGACAACTCTCCGACTCTAACACTTACAACAAAGTCGAATCACCACACATACAAGAAATATGCCAAGCAATTAAAAAAATTGCTTTAGAAATGTATAGAGAACACGACATTGATGAAACAACGTTGAATTTCCTCACACCCACAGGGAAAGAACGCGCACCTAGATTCTATCATTTACCAAAAATACACAAAAACAAGTCGCCCCCACCAGGAAGACCAATCCTATCTGGTAACAACGGGCCAACAGAAAAAATAGCAATGTACTTGGACTATTTCCTCCAACCACTCACCAAAATGATACCTTCATTTGTCAGAGATAGCACTGATCTCATCAACAAATTGCAATCACTACCCGCCCTCAAACCAGACTGCATTCTAGTAACAATGGACGTGAGCAGCCTTTACACCAACATCAACCATAGTGACGCTATTGCAGCAACGCTAAAACACATCAACTTGAACAAAACCAATCTCCAACTAGACATCAACATACCCTCTAACAGAAGAATTACACAATTACTCAACATTATTCTCAAACAGAACATATTCGAATTCAACAATGAATACTACCACCAGAAATTCGGATGCGCCATGGGCTCTAAAATCAGTCCCTCGCTGGCCATTCTAGCTATGGCTGAAATTGAGAACAAAATCTTAGAAACAGCACCCAACAACAAAAAACCCACGATTTACCTCAGATATATCGACGACATATTCATAATCTGGGAACACAACACCCAGGAACTCAACACATTCATTCAACATTGCAACCAAACACATGACACAATTAAATTTGAAGTAGAAACATCTACAACGGAAATACCATTCCTTGACGCTCTGATATACAAACCTAAGGAGTTCAACACCACCAAAACACTACACACCAAACTATACTCCAAACCAACCGATGCTCACATATTCATACCTGCAAACTCATTTCACCCTAAACATTGCCTAGACAACCTAGCCAAAGGGGAATGCATTAGATACAAAAAACTCTGCACTACAACACTAGACTACGATTCAAACTCGGAAAACCTCAAAAAATACCTAAAAACACGTGGACATAACCCGAGGAACTTCAACAAACACATAGCTAACACCAGAAAACTAAATAGAACGCTACTACTGAACCAACCAGCCCGTACCCGCCGCACTAAAACATATGAAAACAACACACTACCATTCATTACCACACACTCGGGTATCAACCACCAGATCAAAACTATTCTGCAAAAACACTGGCACATTATAAAAAGCGACCCTACACTAACCCAGATATACCCCAATAGCCCTACTATTGCTC